TCCAACACACTGTAATTACAGCGCGTCTGAGCAGACTGATTAATGGCTCTCTCTAGCATCTCATGTATCAGCTGTCCCAAGTGCCTGGCCACATTGTTATGCCTCTGATAAAATCTCATTGTTTGTGGTAAGATTCTGTGAAGTCTTAAAGCAATGGTTTGTTCCTGGTGGTATAATGTGTCACAGTTAGCTATGGCTGTATATTTGAGTATACAGGCAAGTGCTGTCATTTAGTATGTCCATTTACAAATTTGAGCTGCTTTAGTTTTTCTCCATAATACATGCCTACTGTGTCATAGTCAAGCAATCAAAAAGTCCCCTGGCCAGGTTGTGAATAACAGCCACCTTTCTGACTGACATGGCTCTTTTCCATAGAATGTATGAGGAGTCTGCTTGGCCTCCTGTAGTGTGTGGTACACACAGAGTCAGGTTTTGCAGTAAAGTATTTCCAACTGTTCTCTCTGCTCTATGGCTATTCCTACATTGTAAGAGGTATCTAAGATAACTGATAACAAGCTAGGTCAGGTACTGGAACAAGCATAGCTGCAACAGCATGCCTGTTGATGTGCTTTTAGTCCTGTGATTTCTCATCCTTCTTCTGGAGAAAATTGTTTGTTTGCATATAAATTGAAAATAAAAAGAAGGCCACAAGGTGACCTGGTTATAGCATATGAGTAGCTTCAAAGGAAGAAAATACCAGGAACTATAAGGGCTCTTTAATCTAGCAGAGAAAATCAAAGCAAGAACCAATGAGTGAAAGTAAAGCCAAATTCAATTGAGAAATAATGGCCAAATTATTAGCAGTGAAGCTGAATAACCATTGTAATAATTTTGCAATGCAAGAGAGAGATTCTCTGTCTCCCAATGTCTTCACTTCAAGAACAAATGTTTCTCTAGAATATTTGGTTTTCTCAGACATAATTGAGCTCAGTTCAAAAGTATTTTGATGAAATTCTATGGCCTATGATATACACAAAGCCAAGCAAGTTTATTTAAAGTAATACTTCTAGTCCCAGTAAACAATTATTTCTTCCTTTTTTATATCTGTAGTAAAAAAATAGTTTTCAGTATAAAATGAATAATAGTATATCATGGAATAATATAATTCAGTAAATTAATCAAAAATATTAAATATAATTATATTTCTACTAATGTAGCCATTTTGTTGATAGAAATTGCAATAGCCATTACCTAGAACTTTCAAGACTTAGAATTGCTGCCACTGGATTATTATTTGTTAAAACAGGATTTAAACTGTAGCAATAGTATTTAATCACATCATGGATCTAATCTAGTAGAAAATTAAAATATTCATGGGACTAGTCAAAATCGGAAACCCTATTTTTATAATACATTTCAGAATTTCAAAGTTATTTTGCTTCAAGTTGTTTGAAACAGATTTCATTTTTTAAAACAATTTTCTGGGTTTTTTTGCAATTCCAAATGTCTGTCTTGATATTATTGAAAATATTATCAAAACGTTTACTGAAATTTTCCATTTAGTGGAAACCTCATAAGGAAAAGCTTCCAATAAAAAATTTTAGTAAAAAGTCGAGAGGTGGGAAAAAGCTCAACATTGTTCATGGAAAATGAAAGATGATGACAATACTGATAAATTTTCATTAAAATGTGGATTTTTAAACAGGCTATTTTTCTAAAAAATAATATTTTCATTCAGTTTCGTGTGTGTGTTAGGAGCACTGCACAGTTCCCCAGCTATCATTCTCACTGTGTAGGTGCATCTACATGCCCAAGGGCCTATTTGTTCTCTAAACAAAGTAGAAGTGGACTCCTTGCTAACCACAAGCAAGCCACAAAGAAATTCTTAGGTTGATAGAGGAAGGAAGAGTAGGATTTTCTTCTACATCAGGGGTCCAGGAGAATTAGCTCTGTTTGTCCAGTATGTGGTTAGTTATAAAAAAGTCATTGAAGCACTTCAGTCTGCCTTTGGTTTCCTGGAGAAATTACCTTCACCCCTAATTTTTGCTTGGTGCCCTTCACAAAGCACAATTATGCCAGTTTTGTGTGGTAGCTTGAATTTTAGCCGAAGGGCTAAATCTAAGTTTACAGCCAATGCCAATTTTTGAGACGAACAAGAATAATTCTAATGAATTAGCAAGCTCTGCCTGGTTAAAAACTATTTTCAGTACTACTTCCTGGAATCAATTCTAGTGTGCTTGCCAGTGTTGCGTAAAACAAAGTATTTGCTTCAGGTCCAAAGAAGATTAGAGGGCAGGGGGGAACAAAGCAAATAACTAAGAGCCACAATGCAAAGCCTCCTGAGAAAAGGTTGACAAAGAGTAGAACATTTTTCATAATGAGGAGCCACCTTACCTTTGCCATGTTTTGTTTCTGGCAGATGTCGGTTTAGAAACAATTAAATACATGGGGTTTTGTCTGAGATATTCTGATTAGATTCCTTTCATACCTCTGTCACTTCACATGCATCACTAGAAGTCTAGTATCTGGTAATGTAAAGCCTTTTATAAAACATAATCCTGTAAGTACTGTACATGTGAGTAGCTTTAGTTGTGTAAGCAGCCCTATGGCAACACCTTATTGCCTTCTGCAAAAAAAGATCAGTGAGAAGTAGCTATAAAGGAAGAGGGGGAGAAGCAAAGCTTGCCCCCATCTCCACAGCATGATGTCCTATTATAGGCTTCTCTTTCTTCATAGACTCTGCCCGCAAAGGTCCTAGCACCCTGGGATCTGAAGGAGGTTAGAGAACAAGGCCATTTAATGGAGGCCCCTTGCTCCTGGCCTCCAGTGTACCATACCCTGACAGTGTTGCTCCAGCAGAGTTGAGCTACCTGGCAGTCCCCAACCATGACTGTCCCTTAAAACTGCCATTGGTAGACTGGAAGAAGTAATCTCAAACTAAACTGATTTACTTTCTACAGCTTTGAAAAGTGACAATGGATTTCTTGTTTTAAGTACAAGGATAATCTTATGAACTAGCTGAGTCCTTCAAAATTATAGAAGCAGTAATAATTATACCTAACTTTCAATCTGACTTTATTCTAGAGTTTTAAATAAACGTTGTTTCTATAAAATAGCTAAAATCCAATCTGTGGATGCACTTTTGTTTTCCCTCATTCATGAATTTTCAACTGAATTTTCATAGAGCCTTTACACTTTCTATCTGCTTATATTGTGCTTGTGGTCACTAACGGGCTGTTAAAAATGTCTATGGAGTGTAAAGAGGAAGTTGCAATTCAAGTTTCTAAGTGTTGCACGGCCAACAATATCCACCCTAGCATGAATCCAGTGGTGAAAAGTAATTCAGCTGCCAAGCCATCTTTGTTCTGGGGCTTAGTTCTGGATCATACTATGGGCACTTAAAATATGAGCATACAAATGTTAAAGCTTGATGATAACTCATGCTAAGTGTGCTCTGAACATCTCAAAGTTATACCATTTCCAAGGGTACTATCTAGTTCATGTTAGGATAACTTCAGCCTGCTTCATGGAGATAAAATGAGCAATCTACAGTCCTCCAGAATCCCAGAATCCATAGCTCCCATCCACTCCCCACAACCCAGAGCTGGGATAGAGCCCAGTTGTCACATGACTCCTAGCTAGACCCTGCTCAGCTACTCCCTAGTGACAAGTCGAAGCTGTGCAGGCAAGAAACAGTATTAGCCCTTAATGTGTGGCAGCTCACAGCACGTTTGAACTTTAACACTGCTTAACGTTCTATAGATTTCGTATCGCCTAAGTGTAACATACAACTTCACAGAAACAACCAGTGGTGCCAAGCCATAGGGCATCATTTTGTGTGGAAAAACCTCATTGCCAAGCCAAGGGCAATGAGGTTGTAGCCCTTAATGTGTGGTAGCTCACAGCACGTTTGAACTTTAACACTGCTTAAGGTTCTATAGATTTCGTATCACCTAAGTGTAACGTACAACTTCACAGAAACAACCAGTGGTGCCAAGCCATAGGGCATCTTTATGTGTGGAAAAACCTCATTGTTGTTGTATCATTGTAGCTGGCAACTGAATATTGCCCTGTGTGCGGTGGTGTTGGGATGCTTGCTGAATTGAAACAAAGTAACTCGGTGCATTCATGATCCCAACATGTATTTGGTATAATACAGGGCTGTCCAACTGGAAGGGTTAGTTTCTGGCCCCTGGGCTCCCACCTGGCCACTGCTCCTGTCATTGTTTTGTCTTCAATATCAGTCAGGGGCTCTTGACTTCCCCTCTGTCTTTTGGCTTCCACTTCCTGTCTCCACTCTAGGGGGTGGAGAAGCATGGCACACCCTGCAGTGCTGGGGGAGCCCACAGTTCAGGGCAGCTCTGTGGCCAGTGCAGTGAGAGACAGCCCACAGCTAGGGAGCTGAAGGCAAGCCCAGAAGACCCAGTGCATGCACAGTGCAGCAGGAAGAAGCATGCATGGTGTGACAAGGACATGCACCTGCCCGCAGAGCACAATGAGAAAGAGAGAGCCCACGCAACCAGAGGGCCTCTGGTACGTGTTGCTGTGCCTCTGCTGTTGGTGGCCCATGAGATGGCAGGCCCTGGCCAGTTATAAGTTGGACATTTGTAGTATAGTGTGAGATTCACTGGCTGGATCTACTTTGTCACCCACCATCCCCAGATCCTAGGTGCCTGAGACTTAAGAGCTTCTGTCAACCCAAAGGAATTGTAATGTCTATTCTTTGGTTGATAGTGTTACTAAAATATTTTTGGAATTTGCTGTAAGAGATTTTTGTCAGTCTTTTGTGAAATGTGATAGTAATTCATTAGAAAAATGCAACTGACACATTTACTCTCTGGCTTTTTCCAGAAAGCTCAAGCATGTGTTGCTGGACTTTTACCTTTTCCTTTGGCATGCAATAAACACATTCCATAACACTTGGATAAATACACTTCATGAATGACTATCCAAAGATCGCATGTTACGGTAACCACAGAAAATGTATAAAGAGCAGAGACGATGTTGGCATTTTCCCTTGTTTGAAACATCAGTGGCCAGCAAATTTTATATATCTTTATTATTATTGCATGCATGCAGTGAATTTCTTAGTCTGTGAAATTCTTTAATTGCTCAATCAGGATTAACAAGGGTTCATTAACATCTGAGAGTAAGTTTACCATACTCTCCTTCCTTTACTTCCCCATCTTTTTTAATATTCATACCTTATGGGCTTAAGCACTTGCAGGGCTTAGGTTATCTGTTTGTCTTCTGGTTATCTATTAGATTTTAGGAAGGAAGATAAACTTCGTGTGATGTATTTAATTGGAAATATTGTTTTAATATTGTTTGCTTAAAACTTTTTCCATGTCTGACAAAACTGAAAGAACTAAGTGATTTTATTTTCATTCCTTTAAAAAAAAAAAGAACTTTATTTCTTTTTTATATTCTACATCGTCTTGCAGATATACTGTAATACACATTTCTAGGGTGGTAAAAACCTTGCAGAAAGCCTTGGTTCCCTTGGAGGTTCAAATACAAAAAGCTTCCTCTGGGAGCATCCACACTTATCATCTTCTTTCTTCGGTGAGCCTCAGAGCCCTCTCTTCTTGCCACCAATAATTTCAGGAGGTTCTAGGGCTGTTTGCTAACAGCACAATAAAACCCCAGTGTGAGAAGAGGCCTGCCAGCTTTCTAACCAAATGACTTTGCACTGAACTATGGCAAGCATGATTTGAGATGCATTAACACTTGATTTGTCAAAAATTGTGCTTGGCATCAAGAAAGCCTGCCTTGCTGTTTCAGAGGTAGCACGTGTGCATTTACTTGTATAATCAAGACTATTGCTCTTTAGAACCAAAAATATGCATGATATGAGAGTAGTATCTAAGTGCTTTGACATTTACATTTTATAAATATTTCCCATTACTTACCCAAGGTTCAGATGGAAAGACTCCATACCTGGAAAATAAAGGTTTGGTGTAACAGCACTGTTGTTAAACTAAAGTTTACTGTTGTTTGTATATGCATTTTAATTGCAAAAAGTCTTGAAGGGACTTTCTACTGCCGGATTGTTTGTTTCAAATAAAAGAGTTTCTTGTATTGAATAGATAGCAAACTGTAGGTAAGTGGATACTAGACACATCTCTAAAGAGAAACAAAGCATATATATGCAATAGAAAACTTATAAACTGGACTAGCCATTTCTGGTGCCCTGAGCAGAAGAGTATAACCATGGAGGATGAGAAATGGGAGAGAGATTTCAGAAGGGAAATCTATGATGTTCTAAGTCTTTTGGATCATCAAGTGATGCCAGCTGAGGTACATTTCTTATGTTATGGCACTGATTTTGAATGTCATTGGTCTGTGTGCAACCAAAGGAAGGAGGAGACACTGAGTTGCTCTGCAAGATGGAGTGAGTGAGTAGTGAATATTTTATAGAGGGACACTAAATGTAATTTGTAATTTGTTCAGTAGAAAGGAAATGAGCCTCCAGCCATGCCACCCCTGTACCCTGCACAATGCCTCTTTCAAGTGAGAGCAGCAAACGTTCCAAAAGAGCAAATGCTTAAATTAGGACTTGCGTGTAGCTATGCTGCATGTGTTTGCCAAGTATTTGGGACTACAGTTTGCCTATCTGCTTAAAACCAGAAAGAATCATATTTTAAAGCCTGAAATAAAGTACCTGCAGTAGATAACCCTTTCAAGATTTTCTGTAAAAAGGATGCAGAATTGAAAAACAATAAGCTTTACCATTAACAACAATTATTCTAGCATTTTCTTTTTCAGAGTTTTGGGGCCTGCTTCTGTAGCCCTTCAGCATGCTGAAGTCTCAGTGAGAACAGCAGAAGAGACTGATCAGGTAGTAAAACAAAAAGGAGAAACCACACTACATAAATGCCCAGTCACATTTCACTATCCTGTGTTTCGTTTATTTGTAGTGTGTTTTCGGTGTTCAGCCTACACCCAGGCACAGGATTTAGGCACAGGCGGAGGTAAAGGGAGTCTGAGTGATGTTATATTGGCAATGAAGATCACATTTGTTTTAGTATTTTTAGAAAAGATGTAATAATTTAAATAATAAGCCAGTTTTTCAGCATCTCAGCTCAAAAAAGAGGTGCCACAAAAATAAGGAAGTTAGCTTGTAGGACTGCCATGTGGGGAGTGAGCGCTGACTCAGATTCTTAGGGTTCAAAACTTCCTTAAGTGGAATAAAAGCCCAAATTCCATTTTCCAGAATGTCTTTGCTTTTCAATGGGACTTGGACTCCTACACACCCAAGCCACTTTTGAAAAGGGGTTATAGACACTTAAGTCTCTTTAGGAGATTTTGAAAATATTCCACTTTTTTTTCCTTAGAGTTACTCTCAGATATTTAAACCTTCTAATTAGAAGGCTTACAAGCTATTCATATTTAAATTCTGTAGGAAGCAAAAATGGAAGAAAAGTAATTGGAGAGTAGAGGTTGATGGATGGAAACCAAGTCTGATTTTTAACATGTATTTGCTTGTTTGGAAAACTATTGTTTTCTTTTCAAGCTAGTGCTAGTTGAAAGAGATGTCACTTAAAAATTGCACCTGTTGCACTTGATTGGTACATGTTGCCTTCTATCTATCCTTTGTTTCACTCAAATATGTATAAACAAAGGCCTCTCAGCTTATTGAAACTCAGTTTTAGCAGATTGTTATGTAGTTATGTTGACTTTCCTTTTATAATGTCAAAGAATACTTAGAGCAATAACATTAACGTTTGAGTGTGCAGCTAATACGTTTCACAGACATAAGAGATTTCTATTTTTTACTCATGTCTGTTTCATATTTGTTTTAATAAAACTGTAGCTTTTCTTAAATGTTACCACAGGTACTCGGCATTAATACACTGTCTGTCATTTGAATTAGGCTTAAATTTTAACTCTTACTTCCATAAAATTTGCAGCAAAAGTCATAGAATACTCAGAGTAAAATATTTTTCTTTCAAAAATCAGACCTTTCAATATTTCTTAAATAAAGATGAAAAATAGTCAAGAAAAACCAACTAATTAGATTCAGGTACTTTTCTTTTTATCAAATAATAATATATATATTTCTACCATGTATCTGTTTAATTTTGTCAGAAAAACAAAATACACACATGAGCTAAATTTGTAAAAACAAATATGTTGCAAGAAAATGAAGTATTTATTTTTTAAAAGTGTTAAGAAACCATTGTCTGTAAATAATAAAGAATTATATTTTCCTCCTCAATATTACTGTTCATCATATCAAGTGTATTTTTGTATATAAAATATATTGTTCAGATATTGTAGATTTCTCTATTCAAAGACTTCTGTCTAGATAGTATGTTTAGCTATCATGCTTTACTGATACACTTAATATTCTAGCTCCCAACATGCTATTTAAAAGAAAAACTATTTTTGAGTCTGCAAAAAACCAAACTGTATGTTTTACTGATGTAAAGTTGCTGAAGGTATGTTAATAAATATTGGTTTCTTTTGTGTCTGAAACATTTTGCAGTTAGTTTTGTGGGTGCAGACTTCCTTTAATTTTTATTCCATTTCTAGCAACATGTCATCTTTCAAAATGGACAAATCTGTTAAATTAATTTAAATAAATCAAGTTGTGCTGAACATAAAATAAAATCTAATGAAAATGTAAAATCAATATCTTGGAAAGTGTATCTCTAGTAGCTTCCTGCAATTAACACTGAGAGCACCGCAGGCATCCTGCCTAGTAGGACTGGACCCAGTGATCTACAAGGTCCCTTCCAGCCCCTAACAATCTATGAATCTATGAATCTGGCAGTTTCACTATGCTGCTGAGACTGACTTACTATATAATAATATTTTATTATTTATTTATTTGTTGCACCATGGATCTAGGAGCTCACTGCTCTAGGTGCTACAGTAATACAGGAAAAGTTCAGTTTTCCCAAGGAATTGACAATCAAAGTAGAAGATAGAAGATAATTGTAGACAATAGACAAAATTCCCAGTGCAGTGCAAAGAAACAATGAGACACTTGATCATCATGATAAGAAGTGGCCTCACCACAAAACATCCTATCTAGTGTAACGTTTGTGGTATCATGGTGAAAGAATTTCAAGGAGGGGCAGTGCATTAAGGTTTTTGGATGTATGTTGTGAACGCTTCTCAAGAATGAAGGACAGAATAAAAAATGTAAAAACACTTGTTTGAAAATTTAGCAAGTAGAAAGTGAGGCTGGACTCACTAGCTAATCAGAGATGGGAGATGTTCATCACAGCAGAGATGATAAGTGGAAAGGAAGTAGGTTGAGAAATACTCTACAAATGAAGGCAAGTGGCTTATGACTGATAAAATAGAAAATGGTGAACTGGTGAAGGGATGCCAAAAAAGAAAGGTGACCTGATCAAACAATGGCCTAGGAAAATGACTTTTTCAGGAACATTCTGAGTGAGTTTGAT